GACCCGGTCGGCTGGGGGGAGCCGACCCCGGGGGCGGGAGCGCCGCCGCGCTTCCCAAGCGGCGCACTTATCCAGTGCGCCACCGGGCCGGCCCCCTTGGTACTTTTAAAAAAAGTAAATTGTATTCAATCAGCACATAATTAAGAGAAGAAATTTGAAAAAGGAAAAAAAAAAAAAAAAAAAAAAAAAAGTACCAAGAATAAACAACATAAACATGGAATTCTCTGTGGTTGGGATAGGAGTAGGTTACTAATAATCACGCCTAAAATATTTAAATGTTACAAAGAAATCATCATTTCCATTAATATGGAAACTATATATTCATCTTATTACTGTTCTAAGATCAACTCAATGGAGATTTTACTTATAAGATTTTATTTTTAATTTAAAAAGTAAAATAATATGGATATAAATTTTTGTTGTGAATAACTCATCCTTCACTTGTTCGGAACTTTTATGAATATGGCAAGAGACTGAGACAATAGGGAGTAAAATGCAATATCAATTATACAGCTGCAAATTTAGATAAGATATAGTAAGTATATGGCTTCAAGATATTCAACATAGAATTGAGTTTGTATTTATCAGTTTCAGATTTGGTTTTATTGTAAGATGCACACAGTTTGAAGTACTTCTGAAGATGATTGCCTATTGTTATTTTGATCAGAATGTGTAGTATGTTGCCCGGTTTTGAATGGTAGCACTGCTACCAATTTGTTGATAGCAGTCAACACTTTGGGAAACATTAAAAAATTTTTTTCACACAAGTGCTGCAATTTATTTGCTCTCTCTGACATTTCACAGGTTTGGAATAGTCTATTTTCTTCTTTGTTTCCCCACCAAAATACAAAACTATGTATTTTTTGCCATTATATTGCTAGCATATAGCATGGTGCTTGGCTCTAACTACATACCATTGTTAAAAGGTTTGCTTAGGCAGTACTTTAAATTGTATGATATGGTGCAATTCAGTTTGTAACTTCTGCTAGTTTATGTCACAGTTAGCAAAATCACTTCACCAAGTTATCGGAGTATTGTGAAAAGCCATAAAAATCATCCATGACTTATCTCTTTATTCCTCATTTAAAATCATTTACCCTATTAAAGACACATGTGCAAGAGAAGTTTCTAATAGTGCTACTTCTGTGCTATGTTGAGAACAGTGTTATTTCACTGAATGTGGTAACCATACTGTAGTGAACTGTTTTTTTAAAAATAATCATCTACACTAAATTACATGAAAAATATTGAGGAAATCTAATTTAATTTCTATTTTCTTTTTAGAGCAGTATACAAAGATGCTGATTTGTACCTGTTAGACTCTCCTTTTGGATACCTAGATGTTTTAACAGAAAAAGAAATATTTGAAAGGTATGTTCTTTGAGTAACTTATAATGTTCATGCTGAAAGTCAAGAAAGAGTGACTATACCATCATAGATTGCGTATTACCTCTCAAGAAACGTTTACCATTGTTGAGACTCAGTATGGCAGAATGTAACATGGCACCTAGTCACATCTCATCTATCCTCCATGGCCAAGATTTAAGATCACTTCCATTAGAACCTTTTCTGACCACCTCATGCTAAACCAGTTTTCTTGCATTGCTATTTTGTTACAATAATTGCTATGTATAAAATTTTTACAGTATTATTGCCTTGTGACAATCTTCTACAGTTTTAATTGGTTATTATACTTAAAAGTTTTACTTAATTTTTGTGGGTTTGTGTTCTATTTCATATCCTCCATAGATAGTACACTTCTTGAGGAATTACACATGTTGAATGTTTTAATGATTTAATGTGGGTGAATGCTCAGACTGCACATCTGCCTTTCTATTTCCTGGGAAGCCTCCTCCTCAGTCACACAGATCTCCCATTAGGGCTCAATGTATGTGAAGTTCCTAAGAACAACAGTTAGTTCTATGACTTGATTCCAAAGTTTCAAAATGATTTCATGGACTATAAAGTAGTTTATTAGGAGAATAGTTATCATAGTCTTCCAGAAATAAAACTTAAGCAATAAGGATATATCCATACATATAAGTATATTTAATGGCTGTATTATTCCTAGAAGTACCTTTCCTAGAATTAAGTTAAATTTAATACCCAAGATACTATTTTTATAATCCTGTGACAGTGATAAGTAACCTCTTACCAATATAAACTTTGCTACATTTAAATTGTTGTGTTGGTATGTTAGAGTATAATCTCGAATGATGCCTCTTTCTGTATGCAATGTAATGTTTTAATGCCGAGAAGAAACTGATCTCCCTTAGATGGCCCTAGTTAGGATTTACTTCTAGACTAGAAGAAAATTTTATTAGAGGAGGGTCAGATTTATTATTCAATTCCTAGTTGTGGCTGCAGTTGTTTTAAACAAATTAGACTAATCTTAATATAAGCTCTTGAGAATTAAATTGGTGGTCAACCAAAACTGTAAAAGGAAATTAATGGAAAATTTAAAAAACAAGAAAATGCTGACATTTTAGAATATATGTGGAAATATAGACCTCTGGTTTCCTTAAGGGTCATCTAATTCCCTCATTTTTTAGATGATTAAACCAAGACCCAGAGGGCAGATGATTTGCTCAAAGTCAAACATCTACTTAATATCAGAAATTTAATTTTATTCTAGGTCTGTTAACACTCAACTTTACAAGACAGCATAATATTTCATACTATAATAATTCAAGAAGCTCCAAATTATTTATTCTAGAGTATTTATTTTTAGAATCATTTAAGGTATAATAATAAAATGGTATGGTAGATATTTTATGTAATAAGACATTAATAAAATGCTGAAATAAAGTACATTTGTTATTGTAATAAAGTATTTATGAAATTGATGTTTTATATCTTTTTGTATTCTTAAAGCTGTGTCTGTAAATTGATGGCTAACAAAACTAGGATTTTGGTCACTTCTAAAATGGAACATTTAAAGAAAGCCGATAAAATATTAATTTTACATGAAGGTAGCAGCTATTTTTATGGGACGTTTTCTGAACTACAAAGTCTACGACCGGACTTTAGCTCAAAGCTCATGGGATATGATTCTTTTGACCAGTTTAGTGAAGAAAGAAGGAATTCAATTCTAACTGAGACCTTACGCCGTTTCTCATTTGAAGGGGATACTGCTGTCCCCTGGAATGAAACAAAAAGACAATCTTTTAAACAGACTGGAGAGTTTGGGGAAAAAAGGAATAACTCTATTCTTAATCCAGGGAACTCTGTAAGAAAATTTTCAGTTGTGCAAAAGACTCCATTATCAATGAATGGCATCGAAGAGGATTCTGATGAGCCCCTAGAGAGAAGGCTGTCCTTGGTTCCAGATTCTGAGCAGGGAGAGGCTATCCTGCCTCGAAGCAATGTGATCAACACTGGCCCCACACTTCAGGGACTAAGGAGGCAATCTGTGTTTAATCTAATGACACACTCAGTTAACCAAGGTCAAAACATTCACCGAAAGATAACAGTATCCTCACGAAAAATGTCACTGGCTCCTCAGGCAAACTTAACTGAAATGGATATATATTCAAGACGGTTATCTCAAGAAAGTGGCTTGGAAATAAGTGAAGAAATTAATGAAGAAGATTTAAAGGTATGTGTAAGTTATTAGTGGTCCCCCCTCCCTCAGAATGCAATTGAATGGAGTGCAATTGTAGTATATAATAAAACTCAAAAGTATGGGATTAAAATGAGGTTTATCTTAAGACTCAAAAAGTCCAAAGTTAATCAATTATTTCAGGCAAATTCAAAATGTAAAATGAACAATTACTTCCCTTTGCAATGGACCCATCTCTTCATAACATGTATTGTAAGCCAAAGCAAGGGCTTTTTTGTTGTTGTTGTTGGATCCCTTACTAGGCTAGTGATAGTCATCACTATAAACTAGAAAACATCTGCTTTATTACAACCTTGAACCCTCTGTGGGATGAGTTGGAGTATAAATATATAAACGAATAGTAGCTTCAGTTGTTTAGAGACCAGGAAATATTTCTGTATGGAGGTAGCTTATATAAGGTGTATAATTATCTAGTCTCTTGACAGGATTAACTCACATTCTGGTTTATACATCAGTCTTGCCTGAATTTAGTAAGTGTGGGTTTTTAAAAAAATCTTTTAAACTTGCTTTATACATTGGGTTTCTGAAAAAGGTTTCTTTTAAAGAAGATATGTGAAGCTCAATATATACTAGGGTCAATATTCAGTTATATGAAGCTCAAGTAAAATGCTTTTTATTCTTAAAACAGGATGCAGTATAAAAGAGCAGGGTTTTTGTTGTTTTCTTTACTAGAAAAATTCCTGAAGCACCATGGATGAAGTGAACATGGGCAAGGTTGTAACTAATTGATATGTTTAATAGCATAGATAATTTAAAGTAATGTGACCTTTGGCACGTTACAAGTCATTTAACATCTCTAGGCCAAAGTTTCCTCCTTTATAAAATGAAGAAATTAAGTAGGTGATCCCTAAAATACATACTTTTAGTATTTCTATAATTTAAAAAAGATTTCCTATATGATAAATATCTATATGGTTTAATATCAATCTAAATGAATTTCTCAAACCTGATCCTGTAAATTTAGTTGTAAAGAATGATTCCTTTGACTAATTACAGTTATTATTTATTGATTGCTTCTAGTGCTTGGCAGCATATGTGAGGGTACTTCACAAAGTTTGTGGAAAAATAGAATTAAAAGATAATATGAATATTTCCATGAACTTTTTGAAGACTCCTCAAATTTGGTTCCCGCAATGACCCTGGAGGATACATGTCATTATTCAAATTTACGGATAAGGAAACTAAAGTTGAGAGAAGTTCAGCTACTTGTCTGAATTCAAGTAGCTCCTATGCTGTCAACGGTGGTGCTCTGATTCAAGTCGAGTCCTATCTCACTCCAAAAATTTGTATTCCTAACCAGTGCACTATATTACAATTTCATAGGACCCCTCCTTTGTGATTTTAGTGCTTCCTCTGATTTTTTGACTTCATGAGAAACAAAACTTTCTTTTCCCTTTGGACTATCTGGGATCGCTTTGTTTCAAAATTTTGAAATGTATCTGCCAAAAGACAAATAAAAATATGTGGGAGAGTATACTCAGGATGAGAATTACGTAATTTAAGTCACAGCTGGGAAGACAGAGAATCATAGGCTACTGAGGAATGTACAAACATAAGTTGGCTTTAAGTCTACTGGAAAACCTTTATGGCTAGCAAAATACCAAACTGGCCTTGTCCATGGACCTCTGAAGAAACAAATTAAATCAAGGAGAGTTCTGGGAAGCTTCATTTTGATGGTACCATTCATTTGATAAAAAGTGTGACACTGTTAAGCATTTAAATGATTAAACTGTCCAATAATACAGTGACATACTTTTAGAATTTTGAAAATATGGTGTCTCTCAATTTTCAAAAAGCTGTGTTGCTCCAGTGGACATTATCCTGGCTATGGAGTAACATCACACATGGCATTCATAATGATTTATATTTGTTAAAGTTCATTTAACTACAAGTAGTAATTTTCCTTTATTTATACATATTCAAAATAAAACCACAATGGTGGTATGAAACTGTAATGTTTCATTGTAATAAACATGATTTTTTTTCAGGAGAGCTTTTATGATGATACGGAGAGCATACCAGCAGTGACTACATGGAACACATACCTTCGATATGTTACTGTCCACAAGAGCTTAATTTTTGTGCTAATTTGGTGCTTAGTTATTTTTCTGGCTGAGGTAAGAATGTTACGTTGTAAAAATATTACTGTGATTTAAAGTTAAGTTAAGAATAGTTTGGAAGTATGTATCATATATATACACACACATATGTATGTAATAGCATATATATGTACATATGTAATTTTACAGTGTATAATGGTATAGTTTCATATACTTCTTAGTGTCTAGAAAGCAGCAGTTGGAATCACTATTGATATTTTTATTTCATACTTAGCATATAAAATGTACTTATATGAAGAGTTTTTGATATGAAGAGTTTTTAGTAGATTCAAAAGCTCAAAGTAGAAGGACTTTTTCTGGATTAAAATTAAACACTGAAAATAATTCTGTACAAAATTGTAAATTTGTTTGACTCTAGATCTTGCATTTTTAAGTATGTAGATGATGACTATTTAAATGAGTATTCATGAAATGAGATAAATATATATCAGTGGCTTAGGAATCATTTTAAACAACCCTTTCAGAGATTCAAATCACCCCTTGCATACAAACATTCTTCAACACCACCACCATAGTTTCTATGCCATGCCTCTGTTGTCCTTCACATCACCAAGTTGAACGGGAAGGGGTATGCATATAGCACAGTAGGCCACGAGTTCAGCTGCCATCAACATAAGAGGTTCCTGAAGCTGGGTAGTGGATGAGGCTTTTCTGTAATCAGAATCGTCACATAAATGCCTAAAGGGGCCTGGCAGAGAATGCCAGTGGGTGAAGCGGCTGTGAGCTGGGTGAAGGAGCATTTACCTTCTGGTTGTCTAAAGGGGCAACTGTAACTCATCCAAGGACATTGCCATGAGGGAATTTGGGACTGGTTTTGCCAGACCTTCTTGTTTTTCAAGGTAAGACAGAGATCTAGCTTTTTCTGTAAATTTTTTCCATTTTAAAATGTGGGTAGTTGGTTAAATAAAAACAAACAAATACTAGATGGGTACAACAGAACACATCTGTGGGTTGGATTCAGCCTGTGAATGATTACCCTAGATATTTATTCCAGAGGACACCCTTGGATGTGTCCTAGCATAAAACTGAAATATGATCAGAAGGCCCATACTGTCTTCAGGGAAGAAGTGATCCAGGTGAAGAACTGCCTCCCTCGAGGCAGTATAAATGTATGTCTTCCTAACCTCAATTAAGAAAGCTGCATAAAGTATCATCACTCCACCATGATCAAGTAAGATAATGTTAAATATCTAAAGGTCTGTACCATTAAGTTGTACATACTACTTCACCAGTAAACCATTAGTTTCCATTTGCTCTGTGAGTTTTGGTAGTATCTCTTCTTTTGCCCTGCTGTTTTAAATTAACAAACTAAATGGAGGCTTGATGTGAGGTGCGGTTTAGCATAGTGCCAACTCTAGAATCAGACTGCCCTTGGTGTGAAAGCTCTGTCTTATCAACACTGTGAAACTGAGCAAGTTAGTCAACCTCTTTGAACCTCAATCTCCTCATCTATACAATGGAGATTGTAATAGTACCACTTCACAGGTCATTTTGTGGGTTAAGAGACATCATGATTATAAAGCACCTAATATAGGGCATGGTATATAATGAGCAATGCTAATTGCCATTATCATTAATATCCTTAATGATGTATCATTATTAAAAAGGTTCAGATAGTTTGAGGTGAACAAGACCATAACAGCAATACAATGAATTTTCAGTAATTCCTCTTACACTTCAACAAAAAAATGAGGTTGGGTAATTTGATACTCTCATATGAGTAATAACTATTGCATTGAAATGTATTTCAAATTTGCCTCATTAATCTCTGCTAGTCATGCCAAATGACTAACATTAATGTGAATGAAATTGAGTCTGTACCCTATTTAACCTCAACAAGCCCTTTACAGTTGTTAATGATTTGAACCTCAGTATTGAAAGATCACATTACTTGATTATCTTCTTCAACTTAAATAAGAAAAAAGGGTCGTATCTGAATGTGGCATTGCTTGCTTTTAACTTATAGTACCTTTGTTTCATGCAGCTCCATAGAGTAGAACTTATGCACCTTTCAAAATGGTGTATAATTAATTAATTGAATGTTGAGCTGCTACACATGTGTGTGATATTATTAGCTCAATTAATCAAAAAGAAGACAATGGTCCTTTGTTACTGGGCAGGAAACTAAATTCTAGCAGAGGATGTAATTGCTATGTAACTACTGTTTGTTAGTTGAACTCTCACAATTATTGAAAATACATTGTCTTATAAATGGAAAAAATGATTGGTAACACCCTTTTCTGGGCAAGAAATAATACAATAAGTGATGAGCCTTTTTGGCTAATTAACTGGCTGTCAAGATTTTGAATAACAAAAACTTGGTAATAGTAGAAAAATAAGTTATGTGCAGTTTAAGAGCTAAACAATTTATTCACAAATCTATTGCCTTCTTTGAATCAAAATATACATAGTTTTTCTTTTAGACTAAGCTGCTTCCTTATAACAGTGTGCCTATTTCTCATCACCATTGAAATATCTCATTGGTACTTCACATCGTGGTACAGGTGCTAATCCACGGTGATAGTTTAGCTCTTTTAAATCCTGAAAGGTTAAGATGCATTTCTTCCTTGATGAAAGTGATTTATCTATTTTTAGTTTTCATAAGGGTTGTATTTAAATTTAGATTTATGTTTTTATAGAATAGGTTCAATATGCTCTTTTTTTGCAATATAAGATAGCCTTTTAAATTTTTTTTCAAAGCTGCTAAACTGAAAAAAATTCCTTTGGTCTGTTCACGTTAACACTTACTATTAGTGTGTCATTTTGAGAAGGGAATCAGGTCTACATTTGCATTTTTGTACCATTTTTCCCACTACAGGGCAATGTCTTCTGTAAGTTCTTAGATATTAGCACCAAGCAGATAGGCTCTACAAGTTCTATTATGTTGGTCTTCCTAGTGCCCCTGCATAGCAGATAGATAAATAGAGAAGAAATGCAAATAATAGATTAGGAGGCAGTTTTCTGTTTCCTTTTAGAACAACCAAGAACTATTGTTGTTGGTTGAAGTATCTGAAGATCCTGTTTAATGCTTTCATTCTATGATTTTTAGTAATGTGTCAAAGAACTGCTGTATTCTATTCCTTTATGACGTCCCTTCTGTTTGTTAACGAGGAATCCCTAAGTGGCTTTGCATTATTAGTTAGATGGAGACATGGTATTCTCGCATGATACCACTGCAGCTATTGACTGATAGTAATCCTTTTAGGGTGACTTTGATTACCTTGGTCTATATTTTAGGGCAGGATTTGAGTTGTGAAGCATTGAAATCCTCAATGTACACTGTTTTCTATATGATCTAGAATGATGTTTAAAACCCTGAGAAAATGGAAAATAAAAGTAGTTTTACTTTTCTCCCTTAGTCATCTAGGACTGTCACTCTATTACAAACTGCATAAACTTTATAACCTCAAAACATTTTAGAAATGAAATGATAGAACTTGATTACTAAATTGTTTCTATATGCCCCATATATTTTTACTAAAATAATTACAGGAAGTGCTTGCAAATGTTTCTGTTCTAGTCAATAAAAGTATTTTGGATTGGTGATTCCATGTGGATAGAGCCAGGAAATAATTTTGTATCATGACAACTAGGCCAGTTCTTTAGTAAACTGCTTTGGTTATTGTTCCCTTAGCATATATTTTATAAAATGATTATTCCTGAAATTTACTTACATTCAGAGAATATTGGCAATGTCAGCATTATTGACATTCCTTTAATTGGATCAAAGGGTAACGATAATAACCAAAGAGTGAGGCAGAACATATACCCTTATCTAGGACTTCGAGTAATCTGATTAGTTTTAGGAAACAGGAATATATTTTAATGGTACAGACACTTTTCAAATAGCTAGATTATTGCTGGGTTTCATGTGCATTTCAATTTACTTGAATTTCAAGGAAACAGGGATAGTTTTTATTTTTATTGGTATAGTGCATGGAGGCTATGTATACAATGAAGAAAAGTAGGAAAGTGAAAATACTGTAGTGGCCATTATATTTTTCATCATTATACTCCCATCTGGTATGTGAATTTAACTAAAACTTACAGGCCTCTTTGAAGTATAGCACTTCATAATGTAATTTTTAAATTAATCTAAGTGTTGCCCATAAGTTTTTTATATAGTACTCTTAAATATTTAAGGTAAATTCAGGTATGAAATAAGACTTGTAGATTTCTTATTCCAAACGTATTTGTTTCTCCCCTATTTATTTTTGTTCTGTGTTCATTGCCAAAATTATTTTACTCACAATTGCTCGTTTGTTCTATTTCATTCTCTGGTAGAGTTATTATTGGGCAATAATTGTTTAAATTTGGGGTCATTTCTAATATTATAATATTGATGGCATATACACAAGATTAAATTTCTCCATTGGTTTATGAGATAGAATATCAAACTGAAATAGAACAGAGCACAGATGATTTAAATATTGAAAGGACTGCAAAAATCACAGTTGTTAAAAAAACCTTTTTTTTTTTGGTTGTTTAGGTATGGTATAGGACATTTTTGACTCAGCCAAATGTTTCTGCCTTGAGAAAGCCCAAACTCCTCAGCAATTCTAGTACTAATAAAGTATGTTTTATCCTGAAAGCACTATATTTTTATTCATGAACTGTGAATTTTTGCACTTTTCAAACTTTTAATTGATTTTCATAAATATTAATCTCACCTTTCCCAATAATTAATTACAGGTATTAGTCCCCCGTAATCATTGAATGGCAAGTGAAATTATTTATAGCCACTAAACAGATTAATTATCTGCTGGCAGGCTGAGATAAGTCTGTGTATAAAAAAGTTTATTATTTAAAACATTTAGCTGTGATCTTATCACCACTATGAAGTTCAATGAATATAGTTCCTGTTGAATGGAGAGGAATGGCAAAGTATTTACTTCAGTGAAATTTGAATTTCATTAACTTAATGTGTTGTCACCACAAAAAGCTATGTTAGAACAGTTATTGTAGCTGCTGGAACCAGAAAAACAAAGCAAAAGAAAATGAAATTGTGTGTACTTTGATGTTGGTTATGGTGAATTTAGAGGTGGGTGTGGGAGGAACAGGTAAAGATGTTAGAAGAAAATCAACTCTGTATTGTTCCATTCCAGGTGGCTATTTCTTTGGTTGTGTTATGTCTACTTGGAAAGTGAGTATTTCATGTCCTATTATGGATTGTGTTTTGTTTCTGTTGATTATTTGGGTCTTATTAAATATTGTAATATCCACTATGTTTCATTTCTCCCCAGTATTACGGTAGTAGAAAAACAAGTTATTTTGTTTAAATTATGAACATATGTAGTTCCTACAGCTCTTGGCCAATTTCTAAAGGAATGAGTTGTGTTTAGTTTCTATGAAATGCGATCAAAATATTTGAAACAGTGTTATACATTTAGTATTTTTTCTAAGCATTTTAATTTAATAAAGATCAATTTTATCTACTTCAGTGGTGAGAAAACTTAATTTCTTGCAATTGTAAATTGTTGAGATTAAATGCACAAGCTCTGCTAATGCAATATGTTGTGTTTCATTAGACTCAAATTTGGTTTAATTTACATGTACTGGAAATTAAATAGGCAAATTTGGTTTCCAAATAACAATTTATCTTCTGTTTTACAGTACCCTTTCTCAAGGAAATAGTACTAAAAGTGGAAATAATAGCCATGCAGTGATTATTACCAGCACCAGCTCGTATTATTTTTTTTACATTTATGTGGGAGTAGCTGACACTTTACTTGCTCTGGGATTCTTCAGAGGTCTACCACTGGTGCATACTCTCATCACAGTGTCAAAAATTTTACACCACAAAATGTTACGGTCAGTTCTTCAAGCGCCTATGTCAACCCTCAACACGTTGAAAACAGGTACTTGACTAGGTATACAAAATGAAATTGCTGATCTGCCATCAATAGGGCCTGTGGTTTAATTTGTTTTCTAGTAACCGCACTGGCTTTTGCACGGAGACATCTGCTCTTTGTTGAGCCTCCTTATGACTGGCATGTCCCTTTCTCAGATATTATAAGTTATCATATGTTGTCGTTCCTGATATTTCTCTATCACCTATCTAGAGTAGCTCATTTGTTTGATGCTGATAGGACTGTAGCAGCAGAAGCAGGCCCTTCTGGGTCACTTGTCCTTCTTTTTTCAGATCTTCGGTCTAGCCCCCTTCCAGGAATCTTGTTGCCAATAAATAGTATTGTTTTAAAAAGGAGGAAATTTGAAGTGAGCAAGGAAAATGTAAAATTCTTCTACTGATAAATTCTTTTGTTGGGGCAGAATGATTTAGTTTCAGGTAACTGTTCAAAGATGATCAAACAAATTTGTTCCAGTTTTTTTTTGGGGGGGGTGGAGGGAGAAGATCCTAAATGTATTTAAAATTTTTTGATGCCATCATATTTAAAGTTACAGAAAGTAAGAGTAAAAGAATTAAGAAGACCAAAAAATTTAAAAACTAAGGGCAATAAGGTACTTTGAAAGTAATCAATTCCATTGATTCTCTTTTGTCCAAATTCACATTTTAAAGACTCTGAGGTTAATAAGAATTCCCCCAAGTTTTATTCTTACCATGATCTGTTGAGCACTTACTCTGCATGGCAGTGCCACTAAGCCAGGGGCTGGTATGTAAAGATGTATAAGGCACAGTCCTTGCCCTGGAGGAACTCACAGGTGTGAAGAGAAGGTTGACACAGAAACATTTGAATATAAAACAAGGAATAAGTTCCAAGATTGAGATTTTTAGAGTGATTTTTATCTTAAAATGTCAATATAAGAAAAACCCATCATTTTTTCTGGGTGACAAAATTTCAGTGTTAGTATGTAGGTAGATCTGCGTATTTATTCTGAAGCCCTTGTAAGTCACTAAAGTCTTGCCTCATTTGGATATACTTATTAACATCCTGTTTTAGAGCTAAGAATTTTAGACCTAAGGGGATTTCCAAGGAACTTGATGCAGGGATTTCACTTTTTATGGAAATCTGAGACCCAGAGAAAGTATGAGACTCAGTGTAAGGAACACAAGCATTGCTCCATCAGAGTGGTGACCATGGGCAGGTTGCTCTCCTGAGCCTTGGCCTCCTCACCTGTGAAGTGGGGAAAAGAATAATTATCTCAGAGGATTTTTGTGAGAATGAGACAAGGCAATTTATTTGCCTGTGACATAGCCAACATGAAATGTTAGTTCCCATCTTGTTCCCTTCTGTGGGGTGTTGTTCCCACAGGGGATGTGCTTACCACTCCACCTCTTTACTTTTCCAAGCCCCTCATTCCCATAAACACTGCTCTCAGTTGGTTCTGAACCTTCTCTATTTCACATTTAAATGATCACTATTCATTTCATTTTTCTTTCATCCTACTTACCAAACTTTTATCCGCATCGTAGGATGATTCCTAAACGTCTCTACATTGTTTGTATTTTTTCTTATTTACACTCTTGAAAACTGAAATAGCAAGATGATATGAAAGCATCTGTCCTTTTCCTACCTCTACTCCTACTCTCCATTTCTGTTTGCAAGGATTATGCTTTCTTTTAGAAACCATCTCTGTTACTGATTCATATTTCATTCTCATTATGTCGCCTAGATATTCTCTGCTATACGTGGAAAAAACCAATGCTTCCTTGCCTTGTATGTGCACTTGCAATTTCTCCCAGGTGTGCTCTTCTGCAGTTACACATTGATCTTGATTTTCTCTGACTCCTTGCCTGATTTTCCTATGTTGTTGTTAAATGATGCTAAGCCACACATTCACATAGCAGGTGCTCAGCAAACTAGGTTGAATGGATGAAAGTGTGAATGTGTATTTTGACAAAACACTACCATTTGAAATATAATAGGCACCAGGATGATTTTTTTTTCACCAGAGCAAACCTTCATTTTCTAAACAGTATTTATAAATACCATGGGCTAAATTTTTTTCATTTTTTGATTTATTTATGGAAAGATACAAATATGTTTAATTAAACATACTAAAGAACATATTAATCCATAAATATGTATTGAATAATTCCTACATGTAAGGCTTTTTGCTTGGGGCTATGGGTGATACAAAAAAAAAATGTGGCATGATCCCACTGATCTCTAGCAGTTCACAATCTAGAAAAAGGAATAAGACATGTACATTAGTGACTATGATACAAGACATGCATATAGTCACTATAACAAAGACATGCAAGCAGTATGTGTTAAATGTATTAAGTGTGTGTAGAGGAGGAAGAAATTAATTCCAGCCAGAGCAAACACTGATGCTTCCTTGCAGAAGGGGCATTTGAGTTGGGGCAGGGAGGAGACGTAGATTTTTTTAAACAAGTAGAGACAAAGGGAAGAGGTTTTCAGGCAGAGGAAACCACATCAGGAAGGCAGGGGGACAGGAGTGTGTAGACGGTGTTTAAAGAATAGACCACTTTGGCTGAAACAGGATATTTGAGTAGAGGAAGCTTGTACTACTAGCAAGGTAGGTTAAGGCCAAATTACGGATGACATTAAATATTAAGCTAGGAATTTTGGACTTTATTCTGCAGTTCATGGGGGGTGAATGATAAGATACAATATCATTTTGTTTGTACAGTATCATGTTACATTTTATCTAATTGTATATTTAACACCTCTCTAGTCAATGAATTCCTCAAGGGCAAAGAGCATGGTTTATTCACCTCTCTTATCTCAGTGCCTCGCATTATGCCTGGCACATCGTAGACACTCCATACATAACTCTATTTCATTGAAGCAACAAAAATTATCAGACTTGTAAGTGTGAGTCTGGAATTTAGAAAACAGGCTGAAGCTTAGATTGCCAGCAAAGAGGGTAGAAAGAGAGAACATGGCAAAGGAGGTCCACGTCGAGGGCAGGCAGGGAGAGAACAGCCACAGATTCTGTAGAGGTGTCAAAAAGTTATGGGAATCAAAGGGGGAGAGCTCTGCCTTATGGAATACAGACACAAGGGAAATGATGAAGCATATCCAGTAAATTACAATTAAACTCAGGGTCGCAAATGTGAGATTGTAATAGAAGGATGAGTACCCATTCCTGACATAATTTATAGTAAGAGCTCCATTAAAGACATTGGCTTTTGCCTGAATCTTACAATCTTACAGGAATCTGAATTTTATAACTTTTTTTTTAAATGTAGGGTACAATAACTAGAAGACATAGTTACTTGCAATTTTGGTGTAATACTAAAACTTTCTAATCCTTATTTGTCTGATTACATGCTGATTTTTATTTGAGTTCTGAATGCTTCTGCTATGATCCAAATTTAGTATTAAATATCTTGATTTGTCTCTTTAAAATTACTGGGTTTTGAGGAATTTTTTTTCCTTTATATTATAGGTGGCATTCTTAATAGATTCTCTAAAGATGTAGCAATTTTGGATGATCTTCTGCCTCTTACCATATTTGACTTCATCCAGGTTTGTAAGAATAACTATTTTTAAGTCTTTGCATTTGCCATTTTAAAAAATAATTACAAAAAGAAGTAAGTGAATTTCTGCTCATTTTTTGATTGTTGAAATCCTGTCTATTATATGAATTTTGTGAATATCAAAGTTTTCAAAACAGCCTTAAATTTAGTAAAATCAATAATGAGTCAGAACTGTTTACCTGGTCCAAACCCAAGGCAATCCCATCTTTAGATGTAATAACTGTCTATTTTGGAGTGATTTGAAAGGCACAAAAAACCATCTTCCTCCAAATCATTGACCACAAAGGATGACATTATTGGTATTGGCATCACTATTTGATGAAAGCCTATCTACCTCCCAAAGGCCAATGTTAAAATAAAGATGGATTCCTTGGTGGGGGGGTGGGGGGTGGGATGCTCGAAACCAGCCTTACCCGTGAGCACAGATTAGCTAGCCAGTTTCCCCACAGTAAGAACGATAATGAAGGGACAGAAGTAAAGATAAGTTTTCAAACAGGAGAGAGGGGAAAGAAAAACTGAGGACTATGTGAGGGCTGTCCCTGAGTGACTGCTGTGAATAGGCCCTCAGGGCAGGCTGGCTGTGAGGCTGAGACTCTCTGGGGTTGGAGTGACCAACTGGTGACTGGTGAGTGTGGAGCAGGAAAGGGAGGGGAGTGAGATGAAAGTGACCTTGGGAATACCATATTAGGACTCCGTAAGTGATGGGACTTGAGGAGTGTTCTGAGATGATAACCTTGGCTGTGGGACCAGGTTTGAGCAAAACTTCCTGAGCTTCCTGTGTGGTTTAGGTCGAGCTCCAGAGAGCAAATGTCACAGTCTCAATGATCTCCTCAGAGAAACAGTTGGAACAGGTTGCAGCTCATCTTGGGATGAATCATTCTCCCCTCTTGACCCCTCCCTACCTCTTAAGAATAATAATACTGTATTTTAGTGAATCTATAAAAGAAAATAAGGACTACCGCATATATGTGTATATACAACTAACATTGACAGGTGCAGAAAAACCAGAGTTTCAGTTTACCTCATCTGCAGTGATTGACACAAATACGTTTACTGTTACAAGTGAACTTTAGCATTTTGGATTTCCTTTAGTTACTCTGTTTAGAGATATAACTAGGCAGCAGCTGCTGGAGTTTTTAAATCCATGCTTTGTGTTCATGCATTCAAAGGAGCGTTACCTATGTCTTTCCTTAAATGCTGGACATTTGTTCCTCATTCTAGGAGTTTAATGACTGGTCCCAAATATAGTATTATTAAATCAGGTATAAACTGGAATGTGGACATCTTGACCTGATTGCAAAAATATTCATGAATGTTGCCCCTTGATAACTATTTTTCTACTTTTGTGGTCTACTGAGTATGTTCTGAATTAGTTTGAGTATCACTTAAGAAAACTTCAGGGAGAGTTAATTTTTAAATATTTATTTTATAAATTAACATTTTTTGACATGCTTGATGGCTCTCAAATCCTTTCTTTTATGCCAATTTGAATAATTTCTGCTCAACTCCTAATGTTGAGGTTTCATTTGTTGTTGCTTTAGAAGTGACTAAGGAAAGCTCTTTTATTTTAATTCACCCATTTAATTTATAATACAAGAGGGTCTCACGTTAGGGGGACATAGTATATGACAATCCAAATATAGTAAACATCTGATTAATTTTGATTTTGTTAAATAACTCATCACAGGGGTCCTTTAAATTGTTAGCTCCTCTGGTTATACTTAATCATGTTCAGACAAATGAAATTTTATTCTATTCACATTTCAGGAACAGATCTGTTGCACAAAATAAGGCATACCTATAAATTTCCTTTATAAAAAAAAACTTAGTTTCTCTTCACTCTATTTCTTAACTTTTGATAATGTACTGACAAATTTGCTTTCTGGATTGGAACATCCTATAATGAAAATGGAAGATTTGGGTTCTCTTTTGCAGATACTATGATTTTACCTTGAGTAGACACTTAATCTCGAAGGGTCTCAGGTTTGTCACCTGTAAAATGGGGAAGATAAACCTAATGTAATGATGGTCCCTTTCAGTTCTAAGGTTATATGGCTCAGATTGGTACATGAAAATTGGACCATACATGACAAATTTGTATACATATTTGAAGGCAAATGGAGAAAAAACTATATTCTACCATCCTACTTATCTCTATATTTGGGAAAATGATTTTTTTCATGAAATAGAAGCATACATATTTTGAAATGTAAAAACCTTCCACTTTCAGCTTCAAAACCTTAAGACCTTTTTTTTGATTTCTTCTTTCTTATCCCAGTAAGTGGCTACACACTGAGTCCTGCCACTGTGATTTCTACAATGTGTCTTTCGTTTCTTCTCCCCTACCCCATTTATTCTATTATTCTCATTAATCTCTTGCTTAAACATTTACAAGGACTCCCTATCATTTATGAATTATGTTCTAAATCTGGTGTTTGTTGCATTGTTTTAAATAGGTGTTTTAGTTTGTTTTTAACCAAGTTCAAAGTGACCATTCTTATCATCTGCTCCTGTTTCATAGACAGTTCTCTGGGGACTTCAGTGTCAGCAATGCTTTTGAGCCACTTTGGTGGGTGAAAATGTGCTGCCCACTTCCAAGAAGCATGAGTGTATGGTACATTGTGGGTTTTAATATTCTGGTTTTTTGTTTCATTTTGATTTGATTTAGGATTTGTATAAGGATGAACGGGAATTAGAAATCTGTGCTCAATTTCATCTTGTCCTGAAGTCCTTCGATTTATTTAGTTAGTTGTCCTCTCACTAATACACCTGGTCTGAAGTGACTTCTAATTCATTATGAATTAAAAACTGGGACAGAATTGAAGGCTTCTTTGTATCATTAGAGTATCAAATATTTAACAAGTGATTTTAATTTAGCACACATTGCCAAATTATGAGGCTCTGACTTGAGTCCCTAAGGACAGCCTCTTATGGATCAAATGGAGTTATTTTTCTCCAAGGCTGAGACTTATTTTTCATGTATTTTCCACTTTGATTTATACTCTGGGTGATGGTAGTTGCTGAATATCTGACTACCTTGTGAATGTTACATCACTTCCAACTGTTCCCACCTTCTCCATTCTTCTCTAAGCCAGTGAGATATCTTGGTCAGTTGACTACCCAATTCTACCTATTTTATCATAAAACAGTACAGTTTCATTTCTAAAAACTCCATCATGTCTGCAATTATTTAAAAAGAAATAATGCATTCAGTAGAAAATGGGTTAAAGGCTAATGTTTCTTATACACACATGATCACTCTTCCCACCCAATTTTTATTAAAAATAACACTAAGTTGGAATTATATGGTAAAAATAGCACAAGTCAAAATTAACAAGTGCCTTTAACAACTGTCAACAGCAAACAAAAAACTGCGATCCTAAAGTAGTAGCTGAAGTTGCTTTACTAGCAATGCAACAGAGATTGTCTTTCAGGCATACTGACCCTTTTAAATTAAATCATATTTTCTTTTCTGTTTTTTCAAAACATCTTATTTCTGAGAAATAAATAGCTTAGGTTAAAAAAACTAGTTTGCCATCGAGGAAGCATCTTGTCATGTAGTAACTAAGGCATTTAGGATTTTCTCATTATACTGGTGGCACTTGCAGGGCAAGAATGGAATAGGGAAGACTTTCCTTATATTATTAAGTCATGATATACCTAGTTCAATGCCTGGAATAGTAAAGATTCATCCAAACACTTGTCGAATTAGTAAGGGGCTGGCATTTCAGAATTTGATGTTTGGAGACATAGAGGCATTGTCCTTTAGAAAAGTTTCTGAGGTATGATCATCTGAAGTTTTAGAAGGAAATAGCAACCCATTCAAAGATTTATGCAGATCTGTGTTATTTGTCTGTCCTGCTGCCACCTACCAAAATGTTATGTGTTTTACTGCATCAGTTGGAAAATATACGTGTCACCCATGGAAACTGGTAGAGAACTGGCTTACTGATTCACATTTAGATGTTCTATATTATTTATGTTTTAACCCTTGTTGCTGACAGTTACTGTATTTATACTTTCTCTGAATGGGTTATTGTGGAGTATATGTTAGCAGACTTTTTTATCTTTTTAAAATGTATGTATTTGGAGTCATGTGGAAATACAGAATTTAAAACTTTAAATTGGATCATGAAGTGCACCAATCTGGTGGGCTTGTTTCTGAGATTGCTAACCAGGTTCTAGTTTTTTGGTGGATAATGTGAAGAGATATTTATAATGAATGGGCTTGACTGAAATGCAAAATTCATTTTGACATGTAAGATAGAAAAAATTACCTAATTTCAAATTGAATCAGCCATCTCCAAAAATCTTTTTTTGAACCTCTAGGATATCTCCAATCATTTCAAATAATATGGACACATACTTAGAAAAGAAATAAAAATTTTTTTTAAAAAAAGGAAAAAGAAAAAAAGAAAAACAGTGGGAATAGGGGCATTGAAGAGGGAAGTAAAATTTCAATATAATTTCTTTCAATCTTAAACACAGGAAAACTAGGCTCAGAGAAGTTAGATAGCTCGCCTAAATGACTAAGCCTATGTTTAAGCCAGATCTTTCTGACTCAAAGACTCCAAAATGAGTGCCTGATTTTCAAAAATTATCTAAACAAAATAAATCCTAAAACTAATGTTTATACTAAAATTATTTCAAAATAGTTTATTTTTTAAAAGGCCAAGCTAAAAAAAATTACATTCATTTAAAATTCATTATACAATACTTTAAAGTGTCTGGAGAATGAGTATATTCACGATCAAAGAACAACGTGTTTTCAAAACTTCAAAAATGTTATTATCAGTGACCTAAACAATTTTTTGAATTTTCATAGAATCTATGAAAAATGTAGTTTGTTCAGAAGGTTGCCTTCCCAGTAAAAAGACACCTGCCTCTTATTAAGAATGGAACGAAGTAGTGGGGACTTATTTAGAAATAAATCACTGACACACCTTGTCCATTTTGCAATGTGAAAACGTTTACTCACCAACATGTTTTCTTTGATCCTACAGTTGTTATTAATTGTGATTGGTGCTGTAGCAGTAGTCTCAGTTTTACAACCCTACATCTTCCTAGCAACAGTGCCAGTGATAGCGGTTTTTATTATGTTGAGAGGGTACTTCCTCCACACCTCACAGCAACTCAAACAACTGGAATCTGAAGGTATGACACTGAACATGCAATATTCACCTTGAAAAGAAGCCACAGGAGCTATTTGGGATCCTCTATTGTTAATCTACTTTTCAACATTTTTTTCTTGCTTTTAAACTCCTATAGCAATGATGTTTTCAAAATGTATATGTATATAAAAGGAAACTACATTACAAAGTACATATGGATTGTTTTTGTTAATGACCATGTGACTTCTTTTTGGTTTTAAAACAAGTGTATAGGGCTGGCCCGGTGGCACACTGCTACAGTGCGCCGCTTGGGAGTGTGGCGGCGCTCCCGCCGAGGGTTCGGATCCTACATACAGACCGGTTCCCGCTCACTAGCTGAGCGAGGTGCGGGCGCAGCACCGAGGTTTGCGATCCCATTGCCGGTCCCGGTCCGGTATGGGCGTGACACTGAGGGTTGCGATCCGTTGCCGGACATGAAAAAAGACAAAAAAAGGGGGAAAAAAAAAAAAAAAACAAGTGTATAGAGTTACCAGTGTTGGGGCATAGAACATTCATTCATAAATTACTTATATCAATTAAATTAAAAAATGAGAGTGCTGCTATTAGTAAAGGTTTCTCAGGGTTCCCAAGCAATATTAGACAAAATTCTTCGTTTTCGCTTGTTTTCTTCAGATACCCTTACTTTATGTCCTGAGACTGCCTTTTTGTGTATCCCCAACATCTACTTGTGCTACTCGGGAAGTATATTTTTCAGTAACAGCCTTGGTGTGGGTCCATTTTTGGGGATAAATTTCCAGGGTGTTTCTACTTTGAAAGTTATTAGCTAAATCAAGTCACATAAACTTTCTTAATTGAAACACTTGAAAAAATTTTCTTAAAAGGAAAAAATTTTTCTTAGTAGTGATTCATTTAGGATTAGCTAGAAAAAAAAATGCCCAGTGGTAGCCAAGAAATATGAATAGATAATGGTAGTGATTTTATAATAAGTTCCCATTCATGATAACCAAGTAAAAAAGGTTAAAAATTAACAAATCCCATCTATTCAAAATACGACACCAGAGTGAAAAACCTCTCTAACCAATGGCATGTGTGGTACGATTACTCTTAGGTTAGTCTTTTGCAGGTATCTGGTAGTATGAAACAGCATTCGGTGTTTACATAATTTGCATTGTTTTCTATGGGAATATTTCACAGCCAGGAGTCCAATTTTCACTCATCTTATTACGAGCTTAAAAGGACTATGGACACTTCGTGCCTTTGGACGGCAGCCTTACTTTGAAACTCTGTTCCACAAAGCTCTGAATTTACATACTGCCAACTGGTTCTTGTACCTGGCAACACTGCGCTGGTTCCAAATGAGAATAGAAATGGTATTTGTCATCTTCTTCAGTGCCGTTACCTTCATTTCCATTTTAACAACAGGTACTATGAACTCATTAACCACTTAGCTAAGCATTTAAGTCAAAATTTTGTCAATGAATAAAATGCTGTATTTTTATAGGTTATACATTTTAGATATCTTTAAACAGTTTTTGAAGTTTAATAATAAACAATTTGTTGGTTTATTGTTGAACAAATGATTTTTTGAATTCTATTGTTTTATTGTTGAGCAAATAATTTCTTTGAATTGAAGCTATATATAGTATTGTCCCTGCTTTCACAGTTTAAAAAATTGAGACACAGAGAGTGTCAGACATCTGTGATTGAAAGAAAAAAAAAACTCATCTCTTTATGCTCATTTTGTTAAAGGGTTCTAGCTTCAAAATCAATAGATCTCTTTATTAAAGAGCTCTCTGTATAGGGAAAAAAGAAACATCCACATCTACGCACACACACACAATTCTCCTACTTGGTAAGTTTGTTCTTTTAATCACTAGTTGGTGACATTTGTTATTTTTTATCTAATGTGAATTTTGCATAAAGAAAAAACTGCCACAGAGGGGAAATCACATAGATAAAAGTGCTACATTTTTCAAATACAAACATTCTAAATTTTAGGGTCTTGGGGTGAAAAACACAAAATATTTCATAGTAAGTAAAGTAAAAATTTAAATAGATAAATGAGTTCCTCTAATTTAAGTAGTCGAATTTCTGAGTTATAAAAAGTGTTGAAATGTATTATTATAAGTGAGAACACACAAAGCTTCAGAGCAAATGCCAAATCAATGCAAAATCTGCAGGATTGTTTGGTTGTAAGAACAGAATCCTACTCAAACCAAAATGAGACATTCGTTGGAGAGTTACAGGAGGGCCTCATGGAGCCCAGGACAAGCAGCACCATTGGGCTCCTGAAGGAAATGGAATAGGCACCGGAGAGTCCAGTGCAGCTCTTCTTTTCATCTCTTGAGTCCAGATGATGGCCTGTGTCCATTCTTTTCTGCTGCTGCTTCATTCCTCTCTCTCTCTCTCTCCCGCACTGATGACTGATTTTCCTGACAAACCAGGGATATGCCACATTGACTTTATGTGGCCTCTCTGTCCAGCTTCCTGAAGTAATAGCAGAGTTTCCCTGTCTGGTTACAAAGACCTGAAGAGAACAGAAAACAGGCTCCTTTGGGCTCAGGAGTACACCTGCAGTCCACTCAGCTGCTATGAGGGAAATAGGCTTTCCATATTTGTTACCTTAGTTGGGGCAGTGGGAAATGACTACAACAGGAATGTAGATGGTCAGGCAAATGAACTAATCCTCAGCAGTACAGTAATTTTAGGCAACTTTTTTTTTTTTTAAATAAAGTTTCATTTTAGGTTCATAATCTTAAAGATTTTTCTTTTAAGTTATTTGAAACAGTATCAAGGAAGGCTGAATTACATGAACAAAGATTTCTTAACAGTTAATTCAAATTATATATCATGTGCTATAACATAATGATTAAGAGAATGATTAAGTCCTGAATCTCCAGAGGTAATGGTCAAAACATTTAACAGCAGCACAGTACATAACCTACCAATCAAATCAGATGCCCAACCAGAGTGGATGTTAGCCACCCAGCTAATATCAGCCCTAGCTCTACTGGGCTTCAGCTACATTAACTTGCACATATTAATTAACTTCTCTAAAGCCCCTCATTTTCTTCATGTGTAAATAAACACAATAATAATGTCTATATCATAGGTTTGTGGTGAGTATTAAATGTGATAATTTGTGTAACACACTTAGTATAGTGCCTGGTCTGTAGTGAATACTAAATAAATGTTATAATATTTATTATTGTTGTTATTAAAATTTTATCTTATTCTTATATTAACCTTCAGAACAAGTAATATAGTGGGGTCCTATGTAACTTTTACCTATTTAAACCATTTAGTTCTAAGCACAGATATGTGCCGTCTATGGCACTCCTTCTATTAGAGGAATTATGGAAATAAAATTTCAATTAAAAATAGGATGAATTAGTTCTCCCAATTTTAGAAACTTATGACAATCTTATTGTGCATTATAGATGCAAGAACTGACAATTGGAATTTGATCACCTAAATTTATAATGATTTAAGAACATTTCTCTAGAAAATTTTTACAGCCAGAATACTGAATAGTAATGAATTTTAATTAGTGGTTCCCTCTAGTCCTGAAAAGCCATTTACTCTAATTAAACACTTAAGAATTGTTCTTCCTGGGTGAACTAGTCTTTTTCTGGAGCATAGAGGGCCATTTTTTATCTTTCCAAATGGCAGACGCATTAGTTTTCTGAGTAACGCATGAAGCTCTATGTCCACTTCCCAACAGCATCTGATTAAAAGAGTAAGACCTCCTTTCAAAGGTCTGAAGCACATCTAAACATCTTGCACATAATGCTCAAACACATCTTTCCTCTGCTTTTGACTTCTTTGTAGAGGAGCTTAGCTGGACACAGGACTTTCTTTTCCATTGCCCATTCTAGTATTTGTCACTACTACTTACAGAGTAATAGTAGAAGAGACAAACAGTATCTACTCAATGCCAACAACCTCTTCATTACCCAAAACATTTTAAAAAAGGAAAACTCTTCCCTAATATGCACTCTTATAATATAAGCCACTCTCTGATTTAAAACATTGGTTGAATGTTTACTATGTACTGGGCATTATTGCTACTAATAGATGCTGCAGTGAAGTGAGATGAAAGAACAATGGTTAAATCAGCCTAAAATTGAAATGTAAATTTAATGTGATATGTGCCATGGGAGAGGTATAAATAAAGTTGTTTACAGAAGAGAGAAATAACATGAGATTTGTTTATATCTTTTTTCCACATACAGGTGAAGGAGAAGGAACAGTTGGTATTATTCTAACTTTAGCCATGAATATCATGAGTACATTGCAGTGGGCCGTAAACTCCAGCATAGATGTGGATAGCTTGGTAAGTCATGATTATTTCTTTAACTTTTATGAAAAATTCAGACAAACCAAAAAGTATAGGTAATAACATAAAGAGTAACTATATACCTAATATCCAGCTTAAGAAATAAAACATTACACATAAATGGAAGGCCACTGTGTATCTCTCATTAAACTCCTTTCTCTTCTTTCCTCCATGTAGTTAGCCACTATGAAAATCTAATGCTACAGTGAACATTCTTGCACTTGTTTCCTTCCTCGGGATTTTTTTTTGACCGGTAAAGGGATCGCAACCCTTGGCACAGTGTGGTCAGCACCATGCTCAGCCAGTGAGCGCACCGGTCATCCCTATATAGGATCCAAACCCTCGGCCTCGGCACTCCCAGCGCCGCACTCTTCCGAGTGAGCCACGGGACCGGCCCTTGCTCAGGATTTTTTTAGGAGAGATACCTAGAAGTTATATTACTGGGTCATAGAATTAGAATTCACCCACACTCAACTTTACTAGATGGTGCAAAATTCCATTGTACCAATGTATACTCCCATCAAGAGAGTATCAGAATTCTCATAGCTTCATTATCTTGAGCAACACTGGATATTGTCAGACTTTTAAATTTTGGCAATCTGATGGATGTGAAGTAATTACTGAGGAGATAGGGCAGCTTACTACATATTTATTGGCCATTGAGGTTTTCTCTTCTGTTAATTGCTGGTTCTTGTCAATTGCTCATTTTTCAACTAGACTGTTTTTTTTTTCCCTTAAATGATTTATAGAAGTTTATGAATTCTGGATCAATTGTCAGTTCCATACATTTTAAACATAGTCCCCCAGTCACTGGCTTGGTTTATAGTATTTTTTGATAAAAAGAACCTTTTAAGTTTTATGAAGTTGAATTTATTAAAATTTTCCTTTATGTTTTGTGTTTTTGGTATCTTATTGAAGAAATCCTTCTCTGTCTTGGGTTTCCAAATTTAGCAGTATAACATTTTTCATAATATTCTTTTCTTTTTCTTTTCTTTTTTTTTTTAATTTCCAGTCTTTAGTGTTAGGTCCATTCTTATTCCTAAAGTATTTACCGTTGCCATCTCTTTTTGCTTAATCAATATTGCCACATACTTATACTTTATTATATTTATTAATGTGCACAAAGACTGTATTTTAGTTTTGTTGTTTCTCTTGTCTTTGTTCCTAGAATTCAGAGCCTGCAATAATGTTTGTGGGCTAACAATGTGTCAGGGACACAAATCCCATGGCAGTAAGAGTGATGGATAAAAGGAAGCAAGGCAGATTTTCCCATTTTTATTTGAAAAATCAAATGCATAATGTTCAATCAGACTGCATAGTTGGTCTGAGTAGCTTTGTCATTGACTTCTTTTCATCTTTTTGGAGTACACTATTTAAAATCATTCATCCATACTGCATTGGTAGAAAGTCTAAAAACTCAAGTTAAGAATGACTGAGCAACACTATTGTTATACTTTTTGCTTAAGTTTCAGTTACCATTCTCTAAGACAGGTCACATGTTCTGAAACTGCACACATTTATTCAGCTATGAAATCTGTCTAGTCAATTCCTGTCAAAACAAATATCATTACAAAAATATGAAAAATTAAAAAAAAATTTTTTTTAATGCCCTCTTCTTGCCCAGGTGTCTTCATAATTTTTTCAAGCATTTTAATAGTTTGTTGAAGTGCAATTTAACCTTAACATGATTTTTAGTAGTTTGCTTCTTTCCTTTAATATTATTTTTTTAACTGGGCCAGCTCTTTTTAGAATCTCCTGTCTTCTCACACAATTTTATTACGGTATGCTTTTGAAGTTGGGTCTCCTAAACGTATGTAAAAAAGTTTCTGTTGGACAGTAGAAAGAGAATATTAAATAAATATTGTGCTGCATTTATTTAATTCTTTGTTCAACGTTCTACAACTTTGACTTTACATTTAAAATCCTGATGCACTTTACTTGTTTCTTTATCTAAAAATATTTGTTCACCTTGTATGTGTACAATTGCTTTCTCTTTCCTATATTAATTTTCTTGATTTATGTAATAGCCTCACACATGGATGTTGAAACCTTTGTTTGGTGCATTTCTATTCTGCATGCCCAATCTCCATGAAAGTTTCTTTAAACTGTTTTCCATTCTTCTAGTTTTTCACATGGACATTCTGGGCTATGTGATCTGTACTTTCACATATTATCTTTCATCTTGTAGCATAAAAGGATCTTTGCAAGGACCTATTATGTTATAATACAATCTATGAAAAATATCAATATTTGCATTTGATTTTACTTTAAAAAGTCATGTTCTTTTGTTTGAATATCAAAGTGAATATGTGAGTTTTCATTTCCCTGCCAAATAGCACAACTGGCCTTTCCTGAGCCTTTGTGGGCATTTATCTAGTTACTAATTCCCATCATTCTGCTGCCACCCATCCAATTGCTAAGGTTATACAGTAACCTTTTTATTTTCACCTTGGCATATGTTGAGAGTAGGAGGGGAGATAGATTTAGCTATTTCCCCAAATTTCACATTTATATGATGTTAACGCTAAAGGTCCTTTTGACTTCTGAAATAAAACTCAATGTGTTGTCATTTTACATTACTGAGTTGTTGACTGAATTTAGAGCTGAATTTAAAATGGAGTAAACAGGGTATTTTGCTTGACACACACTTTTAGTTTTTCAGTGTGGGGCTACTCAGGATAAAGATGCTTAAACTTGGAAAGAATATTTCCTTTACACCTCTGGCCTAGTTTAAATATGGCCACAGAGTCAAACGTCAACAAAACTATGAAGTTATAAAAATGGCAGTGTGGCTTTTCTTTTCCCTCCCACCTTTGCTTACACTCAGGTGCCTAGCTATTTTTTTTTAGCTTTCAACTAGTGAAGGTGATATTTGATTGAAAACACTTAACTGCCACCTCGATTACTTTATATTTATGATCACATGTCTCAAATATCGGTATTCAAAACTGTCCAACAACCCTTTTATTACATTTTCCTAATAAATTCCTTATCTTATTCCCTAAAATAGCTCTTTTCCACCTTCTTGTCTCTTCTCAGGTGCTCCAATAATTCCATCCCCTGCACTTTTAGCCAACGACCTTGCTACATGCTTCATCAAAAAAAAAAAAAAAAAAAAAAATGGAATCAGGAAAAATTCTCTCATTTCTCTCTACTACTTGATCCAGCTGACTGCACCTGTTCTCATATTTTTCACCTTCCACTCTGTGTCCTTCCTCCTGTATTCAAGCCAATAATATACAAGTGTCCCCCTCTTTGTGAGACCTTTCTCATTATCATAAAAATACTTTCTCTTCATCTCCAGCTACCTCTCAATTTCTTTGACCTATTTCTACAAGACTTCTTGAGAAAGTGCATCTTTCCATTTTTTCCTCCCTTTCTTTCCACAACCTACTTCATTTCACTTACAGCACTCCTGTGATTCATGACCAACAGCTTGCAACCGCTCAGCAGTATTTATCCCATGAACAAATCCTTCTTCTTGTGACACTTCTCTACAGCTTCCACGAAGCTACTCTCACCTGGTTTTCCTGCTGCCCCCACCCCCTGCTCTGCCTTAGTAGTCTTTCCTGGCCCTTCCTCTCTTGCAGATCTCTAACAGCAGCTATAATCGATCACTCTTCTCTCTGCACTCTCTTTAGCTGTTGTTAGCTAATCCCATGCTTCAGAAACCATCTCTTGATGAATCAAAAATTCATATCTCTAGTTTAGACCTCTCTCCTGCTCTCTGAACATAAATTCAATACCATCTTGACACCTCCATATGTTCATAAAATATAGTAATAGAATGTCTTTTAGTTGACTTGACATTTTAGGGCATTAGTTCCTACCCAGTATCTCCTCAAAATACACACAAGGTTTCAAGAGACCATGAAAATGGGACAGAGCTTCTATTCTACCTACTAATTTGTCTGGCTTTATACAGCAGGTTGGGAAAAAAGTCATCTGAATGTTGTCACCTTGTGAATAGTATAGTTTAATAGGTTTTAAACCACCTCAGAAATTTTAAAAGTAGTAAAATTATCAGAGTCTAATTTAATAATTTTAGACATTAAAAAAAAAACCATGTTAAGTGGTTTTCAGTTACTTCAATTGATATCTCAATGTTTGAAAAACTGTTACTTCTAATTCACTCTTTATTTTTTTTATTTTTTTCCTTTTTGTCTTTTTTTCATGTCCGGCAACGGATCGCAACCCTCAGTGTCGCGCCCGTACCGGACCGGGACTGGCAACGGGATCGCAACCCTCGGTGTTGCGCCCGTACCTCGCTCAGCCAGTGAGCGGGAACCGGTCTGTATGTGGGATCCGAACCCTTGGCGGGAGCGCTGCCGCGCTCTCAAGCGGCACACTGTAGCAGTGCGCCACCGGGCCGGCCCTAATTCACTCTTTATTTTAACATAAATTGTATATATTTCTCTCTATTTACTTCAATTGCATTTCTCATATCATTCTGTAGATGGGGTGAAAAGAGAAGCATTAATTCCTTTAACTCCATACCTCAAGTACTATTTGGATTTATAGTTGTTACTGCCAAAGCTATTAGCCTATATATATATATATATATATTTTTTTTTTGACCGTTAGGGGGATTGCAACCCTCGGCATGGTGTGGTCCACACCACGCTCAGCCAGTGAGTGCACCGGCCATCCCTATATAGGATCCGAACCCACGGCCTTGGCGCTACCAGCGCCGCACTCTCCTGAGTGAGCCACAGGGCTGGCCCTATTAGCCTATATTTTTGCCTGCTTAGTTAACGAAGCTGTGTCCTGGCTTATTTTCTTTGAATTCACAAGATGCCTGCCATTTTTAGTACCATGAAGCTTCTCTTTCTCCAATTCTTAGCAACTTAAGCATTATTTAACTTAAATAGGCAAGGCACACCTAGATTTCTGCTTCTATGAATGAAAGACAATTAAATAAATAAGCAAGAGCTATAAAGGATGCCAAGAGTGATGTTTCAAACTTAATGATATTGAGCCATCTGGTGACTGGTAAA